GGGTCAAGGGCACAGCCTATGTAAGTGGGAGTTGCAGAGTGCACCATTTACACACAGGCCATACAGGAAAGCACTGAAGATGGAAGAAAGTAGGGATCCGCAGGCTTTCAGTTTTGCCAGCTGCCTCTCCCATCACTTTTGTCTAAGTGCTAACCTGTTCTGAATCCCAGTTCCTCTTTTCTTTCTTGAGAGGCCAAAGAGGTGCTTTTTTCTCAGGTGGTGGTGAGTGTTGTTGCTGATTTAAATCCCCTTTCTCCCCATCCCTGAAGTATAACAGTCCAACTCAGAGTAGAGGGAAAGAAGGGTGTTCCAGAGGGTGGGCAGACAAGCAGTCAGGCAGGGAAATAACCACTCTGATTTTGCTTTGATTTCTACTTCAAGTCCTGTAATGACAGATCTCACTCCAGTGTAGTATGTTTTGGAAATATACTTAAAAGGGATATGTGATTGTTTTTAGGTACATCTTAAGTGTTGACTAATAAAAGGCAAATAGCAGAAGAACAATTTAATATAGCATTTTAAAACCTTTTAGTATTCTAAGGCATCTGTGACCTGCTAAAATCTAATTATTTCTCCAATACCCTTTGGAATTGTTCAGAAAGATGTGGTACAGTTTCTAACTGGTGCATTAAGCACCTGGCCTGACTTCACAGAATTACAGATAGCTGAATGTGCACTCTCTCTCTATTTTATTAACATCCCATAGGCTCATGTTAAGATATAGTACTGATATGCCCTGACATGCATCACTACCTGTTGACAGAAAAAAAAAACTGGGCTAGACTTGAGAGGGTCTACAAATAGAAAATCTTTTAAAGATGTTTTGGCAATTTAAACAGAAACTCTGGCTTAAAGAAAAAAAAAAAAGAAAGAAAGGGAAAGAAAAGAAAAAGAGCAGCTTCAAGTTTATAAATTTTAAAACATGCCTAAGTTTCAGCATGCCAAGTCCTCTGAAAATGAGCTAATCTCCAGCATCCGCCCCTTCCTTCTCAAACTAACAGTGCCCAATCTTCCTCTGAGCCATGCCTCCATTTTCAGCCACGTGTTTGAGGAGGGTGGACCCTACCTACAGCTATTACAGGGGGCTTATGCTCACTGACATATCCCCCCTCCCCCACCTTCCTGTAACAGGTTCAGGAATGAGAGAAACTGAATCACAGGGTTATATGCAAGAGCTTCTGGAGGTGACCTCTCTACCCTTGAACATCATAACATGGGAATGTGATATGCGGAACTGTTACTGCCTAAGGGAAAAGCCTGGAAGCTGCCAAATGTCCACGGCATATAGCCTGAAGAGGCTGCCAACACTGAAAAAGGCAGAACACCATGAGCCAGAGAGAACCTGTAATATTGTTGACACATTTTAAGTCACTGTATCAAGCTTTACCTGAAGCCAGACCATACATTTGAACTTCTCAGTTATATGAACCAGTAGATTCCAATTGTTGATTAGACAGTACGGCTTGGACTTTCAATTACTTGCAACCAAAAAATTCTCAACTATGATAGCCCAAAGCATTTAATATACCAAAAGCCTGAGCTGGGTTTTTTTGCTTGTTTGTTTTTCACCCAAATTTGAAGACTTAATTCTCATGAAAAATGTTGAGTGGAAGAAAAATAATGAAGAATGTTTCTTTCTAAGACTTAAAAGAAGTTTAATACATTCTAAGGTTAAATCAAAATAGCATAGTTGGAGGTGGTTTGGTGGATCATCTACTCCTGCTAACTTCTTTTTATAGGGATGTTCAATGAATTTGTATACAGTGCATGAATGAATGAGCAAATGAATGAATGAGTGAATGAGGTACCTTAAGTCTTGACAGGCTAAAGTTCCTGGATTAAACTGTTCCATGGAATAATTATGTATTGCAGTCACTTTCAGCTGGGAGTTGTTCATACTGTAAGAGGTTGGATTTGTTGTTCTTATTGTTGCTTTCACTTGGATACACAAGTAAATGGCAGAGCCTGGGAAACCTGATTCCAAATCCAATCTCTCCTGTTCTCCACTAGGGAACATCTCATATCCTCTTACAAAAACAGAAAAACACAAAGTTCTTTGATATGACCTTTGTGGATATGCTACTGGAGTTCATTTTCAGGCTAGCTGTTTACAATCTGAAGAGATTTTCTCATATACAGCATTAGATTCACAGACTTGCCCACAAAACAGAACGAAACACAAAACAACAAACACCTTTTCAACCTAAAACATCTACTAGAACTCAACTAAGTTCTAAATCCTGGGAGCCATGAGGCTATGAAAAACAGGACAACAGAAAAAAAAAAATCGACAAGAAAATCTCCTATTTGCCCACCTCCTTCCCTGTGTCCTGGCTACAAAACCACTCCAAAGGGAAATTTAGACAAGCGTGAAAAAGTGGTCATTGGCTCTCTCCTCCTGCCACCTCCCTTTGCACACTCTTCTTCTACTTCTTGATGTCCCTTTTTTTTTCCAGGTGCTCAGATGTCCTCATCTTAGTAATATCAGCTACCATTCACTGAGTTCTTACTAGAGAGTCAGACACCGAGCTAATAAACTCAGGAAGATTTAATGATTTGTCTACAGTCATGTGGCAAAGCCAAGATGGAACCCCAGTGCAGCCCTTCAACATTAGACTGCACTGGTTCCTCCTCTCTGAGCTGAGTCCTCTCTGCAGCAAGAATCAGCCCTTCCTTTCCTATCACAGCCTAAAGAGCATCAGGCTGAAAATTGCCTGTCTTCCTTCCCCTCCAACCAGGACAGCCATCCCTTTATTACAGCTAATCTCCTTTAGGTAACAAAGAAGGAAAGCAATCTGTAGTAACTCTTAATCTTTCTAGAGGCGGTACATATTATTTTAAGTTCACCTCCAACTGGCAGAATTTTAGGCAGCTGATAAAAGCAGGAAATTAAAAAACAAAAAACACATGGAAGCAGCAAGAGTATATATTTTTGGACAGGGTAGGATGATGGAGGCTATCTTAAGAGTTTGCCTTCAAAGTCAGTGCCTCTAGGACAGATGATATTTCTGCTATTTGGTCAACAATTGCTTTGGGCCCATAGTTTTCCTCTTGCCTCCTTCTACATTTTAATCTACATCTTAAAAAAAAAAAAAGGAAGAGTACTTAATTGGCATTCAATAAATTCCTGCTGCCTTTATTTGCCATGTGATGAAACCAAAGGCCAGAACACATAAGATGAAGTCATATAACAAATGGCAGCCTAAGGAACGGAAACCTCAGAACTCCTAACTCCCAGGCCAGTACACCATCTTTTAGCTACCTTTAACCAAAAACTGTCCATTCATCTTTCTTTTCAGTTTAAGGTCAGCCTGAATGGAGACACATTGATTAAATATGGATATAAGCCTGACTAAATATGGATATAAGCCCACAGTAATTTGGCCAAGCAAAAAGTCCTTTTTTAAATATAACCAACCCCCATCTGAAAATAGCCTCTAGAAAGAATTATTTCATAAAATAATTTAATTCATGTATTTGTTTTGCAGTAACAGAAAAGAAATTCACCCTTTAGTGAGAGATGATGTTATTCCCACCTCCCTTTCCTCCAAAAAGTCAGCAGCTGATTCTCAGTTTAAGTTGTGCTATCTAACATTTTTAAGAAATTGGCTTTTCAATAGACATTAGAATTCTAAAATTCCTGGATTTAATGGGTCTGCCCTCAGTGGACAGCAAAAGTGCAATCACAGAACAATAGGGGTCAATATACTTCTTATCCAGGGTATATTGATATTCACCTTCTACTTTGGTATCATCCATTCTTGGAGGGGAACTCAGAAGGTCAAACTGCTATCAAAGAAGCACATAAATAGGTAAACTAAATGAAGCTAATGAAGAGACCATAATCAAATACTCCTGGGAAAGACAATTAGCTGGCCTCCTTCAGAAACACACATTCACAGAAACTTTTTTAAAAGCACAAAGGACAATGTTGTGAACTTCTAAAACTAAAACAAATAGTATTAGTTTAAGGAAATTGCTCTCCAGGTAAATATAAAAACAAAATTCTCCCCAGCAACATTAAAAGTGAAATGAACTTACTGGAAAGCCCAAAGCAATTGTTGACCAAATAGCAGAAACCAGTTTATGAAAGTCATAATTGAATATTAAAATCTATCATTCTGCTAATTAGATACAGACATTTATGTCTGTCTTACAATTGTCCAGTGTTTATTCATGTACCAAAATTAAAATTATTTTAATAAAAGCAAAACCACCCACGAAAGGTTTTTTCTTAAGATGTTTATATCTTAATCCATATTTAGAGAAGCAAAAATATACCAGAAAGGAAAAGAATCTATTTAATTTTTCTACAACTTTTCATATTTAGGGAGGGCTCCCTAAATAGAACATTTAATATCTACCAAGTTCAAAAGAGATGGACAAATAGTGGAAGTCTGTGAAAAATACTTTCATTTCCTGAAACATACACAGAATAAGTTACTCATTACCTCTAGGAAAAAAAACTGGTCACTTCAAGGATCTTTACCTTTTGTCATTCTTGTTCCCCTTCCCTTAAATCCCTGTTTTTTTATGTGAACCTGCCTTCTACTCATTTGTCGAATAATTATTCACAATGGGAATTACTAGCCTTCAAAATTACAATGCTATTGGAACTAGTCAATAATGAAAATAATAGGATTTTTGGTTAACTTCTTTTTAATACATATAGCTTAAAAATAAAAAACCTGTGTTTTTCTACTGTACTCTTATAAATATCCTTCTAACATGCTCACTTTTTTTTTATAAGCTTGCTACCACTACCTTGTTGTATTAAACTTTAGAAAATGTTGAAATTCCAAAAGCTGCCTACAAACCAAATGGCATCCCAGCTTTGGCAGGGTGAGCGCCTCATTTTGGCTTCTCTCACTCCCTCTAGCGTTTGCAAAGCTCATCTGTCTGATCATCCAGTTACCTCACTGAACAAGAGCTCGGCTAAGTCCTGCCCATCTATGACATCACCCCCTTCTTCAACCACTGCGAGGTGAAGCTTTAACTTCAGACTTGGAGGTGGGCTGTGTGCAGTAAACTGGAATGCTATCCCTCGCTCACTGCTCAGTGTAGGAGTGATCCGAAGCAGGACAAGCTCTGACTGCAGCTGCTGTTGGCTTTGTGTGGACTGGACGCGGAGCTTGGGAGAGGGGGAGGGTTATTACCCCAGTTCACAGTCAGTGGAATTACAGCTATAGCGGCAGTATATATGGGATTGCTTTTTCTCGTCTTCCTGGTAAGTGTTTCCCATGTTTTTCCTTAAGATTGTCCCAGAAAGTTTGCTTGGTTTTACTCTGTAGACAGAAATGACTTGGTACTATGAGGCATCCAAATATGAACGCTTGCTCTGTTACCAGTAAGAGCAATATATGTGTGTGCGAGCCAGCGAGGAAAATTTTGATGATATAGCCACATGCAAGAAGTTTCTTAAAACCTTCTTTCATTAAAAGGTAATAATTAATGGCTATTTTCTGCCTCGTATAGTTGCGATCTGAAAAGAGCCTTATGGAAAACCTTAAGTTGCAAAGTTAAATGTTAAATACTGAAGAATACAAGACAGATTTTTTCACAGAGAGGAAAGCGAAAGGTCTTGCTAACTTGGTGTGTACTGTATATGTGGTATGATCACCAATTGCTGTTTCTACAACTGAAAGAAAATCAATAATCCCTCACCCCATGAGTACGCAGTACATGAAAAGCATACATCTTGCTCACAGCTAGCCGAGCTACTCCTGGAGACTTCTGTGCCTCTGTAAGGATTAACAGCTACACCTAGATTTTAAAGCTTGCACTGCTATCCTGCCAGAACTGCTTCAAGCATTTCAGTCTTGCAAATCTCAACTAGTGAATTTAACTCAGAGGAGGGGGAGACTCTTCCCAACCATACCCCCACCCCCTCCAGGAGAACGCCAAAATCCACTGCTTGGGCAAATGTAGTATGTGACTAGCATAGTAATTGGCAAAGCCTACTCAGAAAAACTAACAAAGCTCAGCGTGGAAGCTATGCCTGATGTATGCAGTGAGTTCGGGGTGGCAGGGGAAAAAAAATGAGTAGAGCCCTCATCAAGTGGGATGTGCAGAGTATCCATTCACTTGCAACTTACAATAAGAAAATTTTACATTGAAAGAAATGATTTTGTACAGCAGAGCTTCCAAAAAGTAGTTAAATGTATCTTCTCAAAAAAAATTTTTTTTTTCTTCAGTGAATTTGGTCTGAAACAAAATGGTTGCATAGAGGTAAAAAGTGCAACAGGCCTATATTTTTCAACATCTGGGGGTAGATATTTGCCTATCTATCTATCAAAATTAAAAAGGAAAAAAAGCCTTGATATTTGCCACGTATAGAACCAAATTCTCGAATGCCTTTAACAAATAGCTATTTTAAATTTTCTTAAATCTATCTGCTCTAAAATGCACATATATGTTATTTTATTAGCAGCAAACAACATGAATAAAGCCACTAAAAAAGTGCATCAGCTGTAGCAATGCCTTTCATTTATCCCGAGCTACATATGAATATCCTGACTAGCATAAAACATAAAGAATGAATTTGTCTCTTTTGAGATAGAACCATTTATGCCTGCCCCAAAGTGACAGATGATTGATACTCATCTCTTTTGAAATGAGTAAAGAATCTATCTTTGAAAAGTACCACAAAATAATAATATTACCATTACTACCAATATTAATAATAATATACCAGGTTTTAATCTCTAAGAAAATTAAATCACAGATATGCTTAGTTTGCAAATATGTGTGTGTACATAACATATACACACCTGGTTACACAAACACATATGTTTATTAGCCTGAAATAAAAAACAGAGTTACAAAAACATGATTGTATGTATTTAAGTAGGAAAGTCATATCCAATTTTTTAATAGGGCACTGCCAAAACACATCAAATCCAGGAATCAGCAAAAATATTATAGAATGAATAAACATAAGGAATTCATTAATATTGTTCTTGTACAATACTAACCATCAGCTACTAATTGGGCTTTTCATTTCTCTGCCCCCCACCCTTTTAAATCAATGATGATTAGGTTCAAAATGCCCAACTAAACACTTCCTAAACATTAACATTTGTGAAATACATAATTGGGCAGCAAATAAAGTTTTTACAAAAAAGAAGAAAAACAGTAAGAAAATTTATCATAACTGAATGTAGCAGCAAAATAGAAGGTATGATTCTTTTGCTTTCAAGTGTTAATTAAAGAGCCTCCAATTCTATCAAAACTTTTTCAGAGCTAAATGAAGCGGTGTGAAATAAATTTGGTTGAAATCTTGTGGCTGTCAGACTTTGTTAGCAAGCTATTAATTATCTTTACCCCAGTTTCTTCTCTAGACTATATTGCCCAATCAAATAGAAACTCCAATTATGTTCAGCATCTCCTGCCTAGGGACACCAGACCCTAATGAACACTCAGTGTCTCCAGATGAAAAATACAATTATCAGCTTTAAACATGCAAGTGCACTGCGGAGAGATTTGTCCGTGCTTTTCTTGGCCACACACCCTAAGGCTTCCTCCTCTTTCTGGATTATTTTGAACAATTTTAAACCCTACAAAAATCAGTAGCAGAGAACTTGCCTTAAATTAATATTATATGAATGTTTCTTCTTTCTGCTTTTTATTTTTGATATGCCAATGTTATACCAACACTAAATTAAATCTGGTCATTTAAAGAAAAATTTCAGTGTATCTTAACTTTTCCCCCCTTTATTAAGGTGGGTGGGCTGATAACAAAGAAGGTGATTAATGGTAAGATTCAGAGTTAACTTAAAAATTCTGAGTTAAACCTCCTTAAATATTTTTGTTCAGTTTACTTAATAGCATTATAAATAATTGTTGAAAGTCCAATGAAGACCACCATAAATGAACTCAATGAGGGAAATAAGATTCAGTAATTTTTCAAAGGCTGTAATTTCTTCCCTCCTTTTCCCTTCATTCCCCTTTCGCTCCCACCCCCCACCTTTTGCCCTAGAGGCCTTCACTGTTCTTCTCAACGGGAGGCTTTGTTGTAATTAAACCAGAGAAAAACTGGCCGGCAGCAGCCAACATCTGACTTGCGGCTTCTGAAAGCAGTGTTCTGGTAGAGTGTACCACCCCCCAGTGGGCAAAAACTCTACAGTAAATCTCTCAGCAATATTAATTCTCAAAACTACATTTTTCTCTTCAGAGCATAAAAAGGGCTGTTTCTCGACCTCTAACATTCCACCATTTCAAAACTTATCATAAGTCAACAAACCAATTTCCAAGGAGATGATTTGCAAACGTCTTCTGAAAAAAGCCTTTTTCCTTTTAAGAGCCAAAATAGGAATATACATTTCAGAAAGCATTTTCCAGTTTCAGACTGCAAATCAACATCACTAAATTTGGTAAAACATCACACTAAAAAAGAGTTTTGAAAGCCATGTTTCTGTTACATAGAAAAGCAGGTTTTAGGATTTTGTCGTGACTATTGACAAGAACTGCAGAGAAAACAGATTTTAAGTCACAAAGGAATGAAATACAATTTCAGCAGCAAAGTTCATTTGTTTTGCATATGCATCATCTTTTTCCTAGACCCAAAATTAAGTGTCAGGAATGTATAAAAAGCTCTCTCCAGGTATTAGTCTCCTTAAATGAGAGAGAGAAATTGCTCTCACTTGATGAGACAATGACAGCTTTTGTTCTTTATTCTTTCACTTTTCCTGTGCACAAGTTACCGTGGCAACTTTGAAAAGAAAACCCACAGACCACATTTGGTTAAATACCATTTTTAAAGTATGCCACTGGACTGTAGATTGATCAGTTTATGTGTTGTTGATTTTCTTCCTCTTCATTTGCTTTACATCAATAATACCCTACTCTGAAATGAAAAAACAAGGTGTTTTATGATTTGGGATGTTCTCACCAACCAGCACAGTGCTTGGCACACAGTAGACCCAAATAATTGTTGTATTCGTGTATGGAAACTTGAATATTAGAAATTTAAAGCACATCAACTAAACTGTACTCAGAGCACTGAAAAAGGAACTTTAAAGTTTGCAATGGAAAAATGTTGGTGGTTTTAAAAAATACAGTTTTAACTGCAGTTGCTCAAAGGTCAACGGAAACTTAAAGCTTGTTCCCTGCTCCAAGCCCTCTACTGCTCACCTTTACCACCCTCTAAACTAATGTCTCATTCATTCATACAAGTCTTGGTTCTCTAATTCACTTAGTCTGGCTTTACATACCATAAAAGGAAGAAGTATTCACTATTATGAAAGATGACATCCTAGTTTGCCTTTTTGTTTTAAGGAAGCTCCATTTAACTTTAAAAGCCAGTATAAATGAAGCAGAATTGGATTCATTTATCATAAACCTACTGGGAGAAAAGAACCAGTAACACAAAAAAGGAAAGTAAAAATCCCTTGCTTTGGAACTTTTATCCCCTATTTTGCATAAATAAAACACAACCTTCTTCAGACTAGGAAAGAGTCTGGATAAAACGAAGTATGAAAAGGCACACTTGCTTCTCTGCCGCTCAGCAAACCCTTCAGACTTCATGACTCTCAAGAGGGGAGTTAGAGGTCCTTCTGCTTGCCTGGCATTAAACAAAAGAATTGGAATTTTCCTGAAATCTGATGATCGTGGAAAATTTAACTACCAGACAGGCTGCTTAGAAAGCATTTTGCTGTCACTATCAACTAACCTGATGTACTCCAGTTTTTCAGTTTAACCATATATGTAGCTTATTTTAAATATTATTTGTCATTAAAAGACTTAGCATTCACAGGTTGATCATTTTCTTGTGCTTTCTAGCAGCAATTTAAGCCTTCATAAATAAACTACCTTCTAAAACTGTAGATTGTGATTATATAAATCCCAATTTAGAAATATTCACAGACTTGGATAAATCTGATTAAGCATGTGTTTTCAATTTCCAGGTTTTATTCAAAATAATAATGCAATTAACTTGGATTAAAAGTTCTACTTTTAGATTTAATATTTTTAAAAAGGTCCCATCATTAAGATATCATTATGTGAAGCAAATCATTAATAAGACTCTACGGAAATCTCAAACTCTGTACTCGATTTAAGGTTTTTTTTTTCTAAATAAGCAATTATTTCAAATCAAAATCAGTTTAAATCAAAGGCAGCAAATAAAGGATTTAGGAAGTCAGTGCATATTATCAACATATAATCTTAATCTAAGTGATGAAAACATGAAATATCTTCTCATTTCAAACACCCCCACCTCTAAAATATTGTAGTAACAGAAATCCTATAAACGTGTAGATTGCCTCAAATCTTTGTCTGTAAATGCCAGTTTTCTATTCGATAAAACTTCTTAAAATATCTCAAAATGATAGCATCCTTATCTATTTAATACTTTCTTAGGTGTATCATGGAACTAAATTGGAGGCTTTTCACAGACTTGATTACATTATAAATGCATATTTTTTTAACTCCACAATTTTTGTTTCTAAAAAGAAATTGATGAGAGAGATCCCTATTAAAAATGTGATTTATCAGTGAGGTAGTTATGTTGTTCCTTTTGCCATAGTTTTAAATGCTATCTACTTAGTAATGATTCCATCAAAAAATAATTTTAAAACATTTCTTTAAGTAATCAGTGTCCATTTATGTTTTTCCCCAAGTTACCCTATTAATAATATTTTTCTAAAAGATTGATTCCTTTTCGTTCAGAAGTAATGGCCTCTTTTTCAAGCCTATGCAGACATAAAGGCTTCTGAAGTCCATGTTATGGAAACCTGGCCACAGTGTCCATACCAGTAGGGCTGTTTTCTTTTTATAATTCACAATTAACTACCACATCTCTGTGTGCATGTGCATGAATATGTAGAATATGTAGAGCCAGCTCAGACAAGGGGAAGTGTAAGAATGAGGGGCAGGATCACGTATTTTAGATAGATTATTATACCCTTTAATATGCAAAACAAAACTGTCTAGCACTATAGGTTCAAATATAAAGGGGAAGGAAAAGATACAAAACATAAGATATAAAACACAAACATGAACTGTTTTGAGCTTAAATAAAGGGAGTAGTGAGGGAATCTTCATTTCTCAGAGTATCCTCTCCAAAGAAACCTGTTTGATACTTTTGCCTATTGTTTTAATGTAATTTGGGGAAAAGAGAATGACATTTTCCAAGAATTTAATGAGATATAATTTAATTACCACCACTGTTGTATTAATGGCAATGTGAGTTTGCATATCAAACAGAGCAAAAGAAGCAGTTTTACAGATATAAAACAAGAAAAATAAACACCAATTTAGATTTTTTTTTCTCTCTCTCTGGGTTAAAAACTTAAAAATCAATACATATTCTTAGAGCTTGATTTCATAAAATATTTATAGTTCAGATACATGCTCTATCACTAGTTATCATTATGATCATCATCTTGGACATACTCTAGGCTGACCTGACTTGGGGAACAGTCAACAGTTTTTAAATCCTCATTCATCAGATTCATCTCCTTAAGTTTAAAGTGTGCTTTGGAGTATGACAAATGCCTGACTATTGGTAACATTTTAAGCAGGTTCTCACCAGTGATTTTTATCACAGCTTTTAATTAGTTTCTAATGCAGTTTAACAAAAGTAATTGTTTCCTCAGCTTAAATTAACCACATTATTTTAAATGTTGAATAATTTTCAAGCTTAGAAAATATTTACAGCAGACACTTTTTAAAATAACTCTGTCATTATAATTTCAACAGCTTGGTTTTTCATTTTCACATTCCAAGAAAGCAACAGTTTTCAAGAAAATACACTATTGAAATTCAACAATAATGAGCAAAGCCCTAAATGCATTACAGTAAAACCTCACTTTAAACAATAAATCATTTAAACTTTCCTCTGTGGGCACTTTGCAATATCCACTAGAGACTGCTAACTGCTATTTTTGTTTCAAGTTGCTTAAATAATAAATTAAATGGATCTGTAATTTTTTTTTAAGTTTCCTTCTGTTAATGCATTCTATGATAGTGTTAGTATTTGGTGGCAAACTAAAAGACACTGAATTTTCAAATAGAACCAGAAACACAAATTTTGGCCTTATTTAACATTCACTTCAGTAGTATTTGAATTCTGGAACAGATGCTATCCTTGTTGGAGGCTAGGTAATTACTGGGGAAGAAGCAAATTGCTTCTACTGTAGTCCTTAATTTCAGGGTCAAATATTTCCGTGATACCCTTAATGCTCCCTACATGTACAGAAAGCCCCTGAGTGGGTAACCCTGCATAACAGATACTGATGCTACCCACCTCTACCCCCCAAAAAATCTTCATGCATGTTAGATAATGGGCAAAACAGTCATCATTAAAATCACTGGGGTATTTTTGGGTTTTATTTGGTGAAGCGTAAGTCTTCTTTCAGAAATGAAAAATATACTTACTGGAAATTGGTGTGTTCATGTTTGAACCTAGAGAGAAATGCCTTGTCAGGTTTTGATACACTTTCCAAATGGTCATTATAAGGAGATATTTTGACATAGTGTCCTTTCTATTTCAAACACAGATTTTTCAAGTTCAGTTTGCCAAAAGAAAATTAAAATTGTATTCTCCTGAAAAATCAATAATTACTTGAACATCTATGCTACCTTTTGGCCAAGAACACCTGAGTAACTAGTTTCAAGATCATCAGCTAGTCCTCAGAAATACCTCTAAGGAGGAAGGTGATGACATTCACATTCTACATTTGGGAAAATTGAGGCCTATAGGAAGATTTAAACAGGGCACGGAGTGAGCAAATCAAAAGAAAAAATTCCAAAGCAAACTCTTTTCAAGTCTTTACATTGTAGATTGTATGACTTTGTAAAACCATGTTCAGAAATCTCTTAAAAGTTACCATGGCATTTCTGTCAAAAATCCTTGTTGCATATTTACTCACCTCTTTGACATATACTTGTTTTCTTCTTTTCAAACATTTTATCATTTTAAAAGTTCACTTTTAAAGACTGGCCTGACCTGAATTCAAAAGCCATGGAAGGCACTTACTTACTGGTTCTTGAATGAAGCTCTGCTTCTGTGTTTAATTTAAAGTGACATTAACAGTCAGTTAACAGTAGAAATTATCTGTTTGGTGACAATCTCAGCTTTAACTCTTACTTTATTTACATAGTAAAATTGGGAGGTAACAATCAAAAAGAGGTCATCTTACCCCTTTTCACCAACTATTATGATGAAAGATGTGTTGCTTAAAGAAAAACTGAAGTTAAATTTCTAGGAAATCTCTCTATCATGTTAAAGTTCATTATTAATAGTTCATTAAAACCTTTTGCTTTCACAGGAGATGCTCAGACCCAGTATACTTTAAGGAAGAGAAATGTAAAGGAAATCTAGTATGCTTTTTTTTCCTACGAAGAATATTTGAATTAAGTTTTACCTCTTAAAAAAGAATACCTATTCTTCCATAACGTGACTGTACCAGATATTCTGAGAAAGCAGCAAGAAGCAAAAGCCGGAAATAGCTATTTCACAGCAGGTAATCATACCTCAGGATATAGCTACTGTACAAAGTTTATACTTGGATAATCCTGGATAGGAATAAAGGTGGGGGGTAACTGACTGAAAAACCTATTACTATACAGGCCTTAGCATCATGAATGGCTTTCTTCATGAGGATCTGAAGTTACTATCTCTGACCACATTGCACAGAAGAGCCAATAAGAATTTCAAAGACAGCAATTTCTACTAAGGGAATTAAGCTACACAAAAGGAACCTTCACACAGAAACTCTATCAGAAAAAAAAAAAAAGTGCATAGGAAGCCATGTGTTCTACATAGTAACAGGAAGCTGAATTGTTTCTGGTCCCTACTTTAATGAGCTTGCCCACCATGCTGAACTGCAGCTGGAATGTTCATTGACAACAGCGAGCCTGATCTGGAGGTGTGTGCGGCATAGGATTACTTGAATAAACAGTGAAGAACATTTCCAAGGACTGAACAAGAGTTTATAAGTCCCAGTCCCTCACCAGGAAAATAATATATGCGCATTGGATTTTCACTCACGCAAAATTTATTCACATCATTCAATAAGGTAGGAAAAATATTAAAGTGTTTTATTTTCATGCCTGAAATTACAAAGGCTAATTAATATGTAAAAGTGCAGAAGAGATCATATTACACAATAGATCAGTATAAATCTATTAACTCTCCAGCCATGGGGAAAGTTGAACCATATTCTAGATTAGAACTTGAAGAAAGATAAATGCATTGTGAAACATATTATAAGATAGAACATAATCAAAAGTCTGCATAAAGCCATTAAGTCATATAGTATGAAACATACAAAAAAAAGTTGAGAACAAAAGAAAGGACTAGTTTAATATGAAATGGAATTTTCCACTTAGGTTAGCTGAATGTATTAACTATGTGTTCTTTCCTTCCTTAAAATTAGATGAAAAAGATTCCTTCTGATTTCCTTGTTAGAAATACCTATGTAATGATATTTAATATTAATAATCAAAGAAAAATACTAACATCAATAATGAAAACAAATGAATGGCTTTACTAGGATTCAGGATCTTAAGAGGTATTTAACTTAATATTCCCGAATACTAAGAAGATAGATTTTTTTTTACTACACATTTCTACACCTGTACAGTCTACCTAAGAAACAGACATCAGATTTTAATTTAAAAAAAGTAACATTATCTTTAAATACAACAAATCATATTACTATGTGTCAATTATGAATATTAAGAAAAAATTAGAAAACTGATTAGCTTGGTCAGTGACTGGCTATAGAATTGATATCAAGTATTACAAAAATGCTCAATAAAACTTTTATTATATTTAACATTTCAAAATCAAATGGATTTGGGATATGATACTCCTTAATACTGCAAGCATTTAAGGTAAAGAGATTATATGATCATGTTCATTGTTAGCTAGCAATAAACCCTACACATGCAAAAAAAAAAATTAGTACATTAAAAGTGATTATGCACATTTTAGTTTCCACATCTATTTTGAATACTATTTCAAGTATCTTTACCTGATTGTTTTCTATCTTTCTTTTCACTCACTCCATTTTAGGGCTCTGACGCTACCGTGTACAAAGACCTCAAGACTGCTGACCATGATCAGCCCAGCCTGGAGCATCTTCCTCATCGGGACTAAAATTGGGCTGTTCCTTCAGGTGGCACCTCTATCAGTTATGGCTAAGTCCTGCCCGTCCGTGTGCCGCTGTGATGCAGGTTTCATTTACTGTAATGATCGCTTTCTGACATCCATTCCAACAGGAATACCAGAGGATGCTACAACTCTCTACCTTCAGAACAACCAAATAAATAACGCTGGAATTCCTTCAGATTTGAAAAACTTGCTAAAAGTAGAAAGAATATACCTATATCACAACAGTTTAGATGAATTTCCTACCAACCTACCAAAGTATGTAAAAGAGTTACATTTGCAAGAAAATAACATAAGGACTATCACTTATGATTCACTTTCCAAAATTCCCTATCTGGAAGAATTACATTTAGATGATAACTCGGTGTCTGCTGTTAGCATTGAAGAGGGGGCATTCCGAGACAGCAACTATCTCCGACTGCTTTTCCTGTCCCGTAATCACCTTAGCACAATCCCCTGGGGTTTGCCCAGGACTATAGAAGAACTACGCTTGGATGATAATCGCATATCCACTATTTCATCACCATCTCTTCAAGGTCTCACTAGCCTCAAACGCCTGGTTTTGGATGGAAACCTGTTGAACAACCATGGTTTAGGTGATAAAGTTTTCTTCAACCTAGTCAACTTAACAGAACTGTCCCTGGTACGGAATTCCCTGACTGCTGCACCAGTAAACCTTCCAGGCACAAACCTGAGGAAGCTTTATCTTCAAGATAACCACATCAACCGGGTGCCCCCAAATGCTTTTTCTTATCTAAGGCAGCTGTATCGACTTGATATGTCCAATAACAACCTAAGTAATTTACCTCAGGGTATCTTTGATGATTTAGACAATATAACCCAACTGATTCTTCGCAACAATCCCTGGTATTGTGGGTGCAAGATGAAATGGGTACGTGACTGGTTGCAATCACTACCTATGAAGGTCAATGTGCGTGGGCTTATGTGCCAAGCCCCAGAAAAAGTTCGGGGGATGGCTATTAAGGACCTTAATGCAGAACTGTTTGATTGTAAGGACAGTGCAGTTGTAAGCACCATTCAGATAACCACTGCAATACCCAACACGGTATATCCTGCTCAAGGACAGTGGCCAGCTCCAGTGACCAAACAACCAGACATTAAGAACCCCAAGCTCACTAAAGATCAGCGAACTACAGGGAGCCCAACAAGAAAAACAATTATAATTACTGTGAAATCCGTCACCTCCGACACAATTCATATCTCTTGGAAACTTGTCCTACCTATGACTGCTTTAAGACTCAGCTGGCTCAAACTGGGCCATAGCCCAGCATCTGGATCTATAACAGAAACTATCGTAACAGGGGAACGCAATGAATACTTAGTCACCGCCCTGGAGCCTGATTCGCCCTATCGAGTCTGCATGGTTCCCATGGAAACCAGTAACCTCTACCTATTTGATGACACCCGTGTTTGTATTGAGACTGAAACTGCACCCCTTCGAATGTACAATCCTACAACCACCCTTAATCGAGAGCAAGAGAAAGAACCTTACAAAAACCCCAATTTACCGTTGGCTGCCATCATTGGTGGGGCTGTGGCCCTGGTGACCATCGCCCTCCTTGCTTTAGTGTGCTGGTATGTTCATAGAAATGGATCACTCTTCTCAAGGAACTGTGCATACAGCAAAGGGAGGAGAAGAAAGGATGACTATGCGGAAGCTGGCACTAAGAAGGACAACTCCATCCTGGAAATCAGGGAGACTTCTTTTCAGATGTTACCAATAAGCAATGAACCAATCTCAAAGGAGGAATTTGTAATACACACCATATTTCCTCCTAATGGAATGAATCTGTACAAAAACAATCACAGTGAAAGCAGTAGTAACCGAAGCTACAGAGACAGTGGTATTCCAGACTCAGATCACTCACACTCATGATGCTGGAGGCCTTGTAGCAGACTGTGTTTTGGTTTTTTTAAACCTAAGGGAGGTGATGTAGGAACCCTGTTCTACTGCAAAACACTGGAAACAAGAGACTGAAAAAAGCAATGTACTGTACATTTGCCATATAATTTATATTTAAGAACTTTTTATTAAAAGTTTCAAATTTCAGGTTACTGCTGCGATTGATGTAGTGGAGATGCCTGAACACAATTCTATATTTTAGTATTTTTTAGTAATTTGTACTGTATTTTCCTTGCAAATATTGAAGTTATAAACCATTTACTTTGTGTTCTACTGAGTAAGATGACTTGTTGACTGTGAAAGTGAATTTCCTTGCTGTGTTGAACAATCAGGACTGAGTTCACATGAGATCCTTGTAGTATAAGCACAGGCCATTTTTCACTTTGGTATTAATAAAATGTAAAAAAAAAAAAAAAAAGCTGGCTGAATGAGAAAAATTAAAGTTCAAAAAATAGTTATGAAATACTGTTCCAATTATTCAATTTGTATTATCCCAGTGGTATTCAATAAATTAAAATATGTGAAGTAATGGGCAATATCAAACTTGCTGCATATCTCCATTTTACTCTGAGCAAATTAGATATCCTTAAGAAAGTAAGCATTATCTTCTGAACTGAATACATCAACTGGCATAAAGGAGTGTGAAGTCTGTCGTTAAAACCACTGTTAAGAAAGCTTTGAAAATAAAGGACTTCACAAAATCAATAATGTGAGCACGCTTCTAAGTTAGGGGGGAAATTTGTACTTAGGAAAACATGAAAACTTAGACTCCATAGTATAATGAACACAGACACCAGAATTGCATTTTGGTTTTGCCTATACCATCCTGATTTTTGAAAAGTAAATTCTAAAGACATAATTGTTAATGTTTATAATGTTTTATCATAAATGATGTCAAAAAAGAAACATATACGTATTTAAAAAGGTAGTGTAACCATAAGCAATTCCCCTAAACAATGCAGAGAAAGTAGTACTTTAAATAAGGAAGAATTTAAAAGAAAAATAAATACTAGAAATCAAATTTAGATCTGGTTTACGTGAAACGTTTTAACACTGTACATAAAAGTTCAATTTACTTTCACAATGATCAAGAATACTGCCCATTACTGTCACAGTTTTCCACATATTACATAATGTAATGTAACATTTCTTTCTAGCTTCCTACTGAATTGTGAGCTATTACTTGTTTAAAAACCACATCATTTTTCTGTTCCCATGATTTTTTTTTTCCAACAAAAAACCAAAGTGCATTGTACGCCCTTTGGCCAGTCTTGTATGTGCCTTGATCCAACGCTACATGTATTCAGCTTTTGAAACTCGACAAATTTTTCATACTTCCTTAAATATGAAAAATTATGGTCTTATTGCTGAATAAAACAAGAAAAAAGTACAAAATAATCGTGCTTGCTTTTTCGGGATTATGTTACTATCACTAAAGTAGCAAATTGCCCAGCACATTATTCCTAAGCACCCCCATGTATTTTTCTAGGCATAAAAATAAACGTTGGCTACAAATAAAAAAATAGCAGTATCTTGAGCTTGTGTATCATTTTACTTTAAAGAGTTCAGTGTTTCATGCACAAACTAATTTCCTAGCAGTCTTTTAGAACACTCTTATTTTGCTTATTCAAGCCAAAGATGGAAAACTTCAGAAGTGGTGCTGTGATCTTTCCGTCTTTTTTACACTGCTGCCATTGTCCTGACTGATACTTTTTAAGGTGGTCTTTGAAAAACTAGTATTTTTTTTAAATAGTTTTGGTAGTGTGAGTTGGCATTAGAGTATTTGGAATCTCAGATCTATCACTTACTAGGTACATACTTAAAAATAAACCACTTTCTCTTCTTAGCTTAGTTTCCTTATCTATAAAATGGGAGCGATTAGTTCAGCCCACCTCACAGGGCTGTGGTGAGGATGAAAGGAGATGATATGCATAGACACTGAACAATGTTCAACTAAACAGAAGTTACTACTATTATGGTCAAGAAAAGTTTGCCATGTGTTTCCAGAGGTTTGCCATGTAGTTCTGCTTCTACTGGTCTACTAACAAATATCTCCAGCTGCGTGTGAAACCTTATTCATTATTCATTTACCATCTTCATATGTTTCCCAATACCTTCTCTTTTGACTTCCTGTTATGAAGAATACTGTTTTCTAGCTAACTTAACTAGACTCGTGTGATTAACATTAAATATTGGGAACATTTTGTGAAGGAAGTTTGACTTTTGCTTCCAGAAGTTTTGAGTAGTTCAGCTACAGTGCTGGCAGAAGTCAAGGAAAGGGCTGGATAGTTCTATAAAATTGCTACAAACCTGTGAGTTGATAAAAAATCCAAAAGCCAAGAGATTATATTGACTGTTTTCCAGTTAGTACATCTTTCATGAGCACAGAAAATTTTATGTATGTTCTAATACATGCATTTTAATTATTTTACCTGGGACAAATCAGAAATGGGTTTTATATCAGCATATAGAGACAGCACTGACAGGGTAAAAGTTTATTATTTCCCTAGGCTTGCTATGAAATCCAAATATATATCATTTCAATAAAATAATAAAATACAAGTATCTACCTTAAGGGGCACTAAATTAATTATAAAATACATCTGCATGTATCCCAAACTAAATGGTTATAATTTTTACTGATCAAGTACTAACAGAGAAAATTATAGGACAAAGAAAAATTCTATCCTGAATATACAACTTGTAGATTTAACAAGAATACAATTTGGGAAGCTACCAAAAAAAAAAATTTTTTTTTGAGGGACAAATCGTTCCTTTGCTGAATGTTTGACAAAAATCAAAAATTGTTTTTGGATGCAGCTTCTTGTAACTGCATCAAATCACTGCATTTATGTTCTCATTCCCTATTAAAAACAATACTGTGCTCCATCTTTCAGCAAGGCCGATTTATTAAAAATATTCCCCTGTGCCAAAAGAACTAGTTAAAAAAAAAAACAAAAAAAAAAACCTCTGCCTTACTAACTACAGTTTCTGAGTGAAGCACATTTTATAACTACATGCC